TGGAAAAGTGTTATTTGGAGGTTTTATTGTTTTTGCAGTTTAAAGCTGTGGCTAAAATGTAACTGAGGCGCTGCTGATTTGTTACGTTTTGATCCAGGGCTGAAACTTCAGATGAGAAAATATCAATTGAAGTGAATGAGAGTAGAAGTAGATGAGCCAATGTTATGTCTTCCAAGGAAGGAAGAAAATAAAGTGTTTAACCAGAATTTCTTTTACCATGGCTTTGTACGTTAACATGAATTTTGAGTTTTTCTAATGTCCAGTTTTTAATTTATTTAAATTTACATTTCCAGAGCCGGCTGAGATGAGCGGTCCAGAGGTGGCCAAGACACCGGGAGGCGGTGCTCCGGGCAAGGAGGGAAAGGAGCCGGTGGCCAATGGGCATGCAGGAGAGGGGAGCGACGCCAACCCGTTCGCCGAGTACATGTGGATGGAGAATGAGGAGGAGTATAACAGACAGGTGTGTGTGCTCATTCTACATGTTGTTATGGGACACTTGTTGTAAGAAGACCCATTTGTAAGTCGCCAATGAAAGCCCCTGATTGGTGCTCAATTGGCAGTCTCTCTGCTATTGATCTTAAACATGATTAGAAGGCTCGTTAACGGGTTGCGAAATCCGATCCGATTTCCAACCTGCTGGAAATCTGATTGGAGTTGGCGGAGGCCCTTTCCGGCCCCTCCAGTTGGTTTTCCTTTCAGCTTGGACTGGTCGGGTTCCCGAGGCGCACTCCATTCTTAAAAACAGTAATGTCCACTGAAGCGTTTCACCTCCATCAGTCTGATGCGTCATTCTGTAGCACGTTGACACAGAGGCAGAGAAGGATAATTTGGATTCACGGTGTCTCTTCTCTTGTGTTTTGTGATTGAATGTCATTTGAAGACCAGTCGGGGGTTTCTCCTGTTGAAAGATCTTCCTCCTCCTGCCATGTTGCCCTTACATGCCTGTCTTGGTTCTTCTTAAAACCTCTTCCGCTCTTTCCTTCACTGACTTAAAAATCTGCCATTTTATCTTGATTTCTGCTTCCCCTTACCCTCCATTATTATCCTCCCATCCACTCTCTCCCATGATTCTCAGCGCAGACAATGTCTGATAACACACAGACACTCCCTCACTCTTGCTTATCCCCTCCCCTTGCTGTCATGTGATGCAGATGTTTTTCATCCTTGTGTATTGGACGTTATTTGGACCCAACCTTAATCCCTTGAGTCACATGATGAGTGTTGTATGGGTGGAGGTGTGTCTGACTTTGGAAATCCATCCTCCTCCAATTGCTGATCCCCTTTTCAGCTCCCTCTTTCTCCACGTCATGTCTTTTACTCTCACTCAGATCGATGAGTCATCCACTTTCATGCCGCCACACGTCTTAGTTTTTACGAAAGCTCCCACCTACTTTTGATGCAAATTCACTCTTGCAAACCAACCTCTCCATGTTTTTCTGTCCATCCATCCCAATGCTCTTCTCTGCCCCTTGATTTCGTCACTCACTTGTGTTTCTTGTCTCCCCAGGTGGAGGAGGAGCTGTTGGAGCAAGAATTCTTGGAGCGCTGCTTCCAGGAAATGCTTGAGGAGGAGGACCAGGATTGGTTCATCCCGTCGCGTGACCTCAACAACCAGGGGATGGGGCAGCTGCAGCAGCAGCTCAACAGCCTGTCCGTCAGCGATCACCACAGCAACCTGGAGGAAGTGGCGGTGAGACACAGATGCGTTTAGTTTCACATTGAATTTTTCTTACGTCACTTTGGTATTAATCATTGACAGTTAAGGAGTGTTTTCTTACTCGCCTTTTCTTTATTGTCCTGCAGAGGAAGAGCATCTTGAATCCTGAAGCGAAGGAGTTTGTTCCGGGGAAGAAATACTAGGAGTCCCCCTCACCCCCATGGAGCCTCCACACACACATACACACACACCCACACACACCAGTCCTCAAATGTTCTCAGAGACTCTGGAGGCCACGATCGCGGACACACTGATTCTCACACATACACACACACATGCACACACTTGAAGTCAGTGGTGTGCTGGCAGGCCCAGTTGGGGGGTGGGGGGATTTCTTTTTTTTTCTCTTTTCTTTATGTTTCTTTAATCTTTTTATTTCCTGTTTGTTTCTTGTAAACTGAGGGACATTGGGAACAGGGGTGGGGGAGGGGTGTAATAACAGAACAGCCCCACTGCGGGTTCCAGCTCATTGCATTTCAGACAACGCCGCCGATGTTTCGCAGAGTCCGCCGAGCTCATCTAAGTCCCCTTTTGAACCGAGGCAGCTACCAAGGAGTGATGCCGGGGTAAAACGTAAAACGAAACCAGAACATCTAAAATAAAATTCATTCACGCTCTCGTTCGTCGAGGGTTTCCATCACAGTGAGCTCAGAGAACGACTCACACTTCAGGGGACTTGATGGGCATCTGCTGCTGCTCTGCAGAGTCATCACGGTCAAGCAAACCCACCAAAACATTTGCTCCAATGATGTCATAAGTTCCCTGTGACATCACAGCCCTTGTGCATCAAGAGATGCGCGTCGTTATTTGTATCCGCAGCGGCTCCGTTCCAAACCAAATACAGACCCTCCCACCCTCCCTGTGCACTTTGTGTGACCAGAAAAGACGTGGACACGTGTACTCATGGATGAATTATTATTTTTCCCAATTTATGTGGAAGTCCATGTTTCTCTTTTGTCCAGTTTATAAGAACAGAGGTGTGAGTTTCCCATTTATGCATCAAGTCGAGCTTAGCAAGGAAAATGTCAATATAGAGGGATGGTCAGGGCTTTTTGAACCTTAAATAAAATTCAGTTAAGTCGTTTCTATGTTCGTCGTTTCAGTCTTTGGTTCCGTTTGGATTCACGACATGTATTGAACAACCTTGTTACAGGGGAGTGTTTGGTCTGGAACACAGCCACTGCCTCTTTCTGAAAGAACATCTTGGTTTGTCCAGCGTCAGATCAAGTGTGCATCTCCAAAATCAGGTTTTCAAACAACCTCTCCTCTTTTCTTCTTTTTTTTTTTTTTTTTTTTTCCCCGTCATGTTTTTTGAGGACGAGGTGTTTTGTGTCTCTACTGGGTACAGTAGCCTGCGGTGTCCATTCAGTCCTATTTGTTGGAGGAAACGTTAAGAGGCAGTATTGCTCACAAGCCAATCAGAATAAAGCAGTATGGGACACGTGGCTGACGGCATGGCCTCTTTGCTCATCTTCTCTTTGCAGGTTGACTGTTTTTTGAGGAAGTTCGTCTATTTAACCACTGAAATAGTAAGAGATTATGATTTTCAGGAAAGCCATTAACAGAAATCATTAATTATTGACTCAGTTCTTCGTCTTCTCTGCAAGCTTGGCTTGGAAATTTGGAGGCACTGTGGTCACAAGGAGAAATCTTGTGATCTTAACATCAGTCGTTTTTATACCGCTGTTACTTTGTGGTATAAACAGCGACGTAAATGTCTCCTGGGGTTCAGCAGACACTTGGGCACTGGCGTTCAGCCTCTGAAAGGTAAAAGCGCTTCAGTCTGTCCATCCCTGCAGCTCGCAGTCAATCGAGCGCTCGAGTGTCGTGTTGAAGCCGCGCAGCAGAGACGCCGAATACGCGGTTAAAAAGGGGAACTTCCTCACAGTGCTGGACCACAGATGTCGAATGGCACCCTGGTGAAGCCAATAGGAATGTCCGCCAGGTGGATTGTACAACATGGAAATCATTTTTGGTGATTTTTGTTCGAGTTAGATGACAGAAGCCGTTTAAGGAAAAAAAAGAAAAAGAGGTCCAGAAGACACAGAGTATGAATTTCAATACAAATAAAAATAATGAAAAAAGATGAATAAAGATGTTAAAGACAAATGACTCAGTGTTGCATGTTTTGTCACATTGTGATACAGTGGATGAACAGTGGTGAACCCAGACGCTTTGTAAACAGTGCTACTCTTACTTTGTATACTTCAGTGCATTTAAAAGCAAGTTTTTTATTTATTTACCTGTACTCAAGTAGAAAAGTCAATGCAGTACTTTAACTGTTGATCACATTTTGGTGTATTTTACTCAAATGTTGGAGTACTTCCACCACATTCATTTCTCAATTCACCCAGATTTCAAAGCTGCATTTTCCTTAAATCTATGTAGTGTTTGTTAAAGTTGTATTAATCTTGTTTTGACTTCAGGACGGTGCCACATTGACTACACATGATCCATTTGAGGATTAGTCGGTCGACGTTTGAAAACTTAGACGCTGTCTGCGTTCATGCCTGAACTGCAGCACCACCTCACCACAGAACCGGATCTGCCTGAGGCCTTGATGACAGATGTCAGGACAGAGAGTCTGACACCAGCCGTCACTTACAAAGATGATGATGGATGCTGATGGTTAAACCAGCACAGGCCCTGATGACCTCTTGAGGCATTAGGGAGGACTGCAAGATGCCCTCATGTTACTGTCCAATCATCCTGAGATAGCATGGATCAGAAGATAGAACTCCTGCAACGGAAGAGTTAATATTATCACAGGTAATAATTGGGATCTTTTCACAGCTCTTTCCTTCAGGCTTCCAGAGGAATGACATCCTCACTTTTGAGTTGAGTGGTTCAGGCTCTCAACAGGCCTGTGTCCCCCCTCATCCACAGTGCTCGAGAGGAGCAGGTGGACAATACTGTCTGTGGTAGAAGAACAGGACGGTCACAGGAGCAGCCTCATGAAGGTCTTAACATGAAGGATCATAAAGAACTTCTCCTCCTGTCGCCTTTACACTTTAAATGAGCATTTAAATGTGGATTATAATTGATTTCTGTCTGGAATCGAGTTATCAGTGTTGAAAAGCCAGTAACCAGATATGAACCTGGTTCTTCTGTAGATGTGAGACCTGAAGAACAAATCTCCTCACAGATCAGCGGTCTCAGATTATTACATTTACATTCACTGGATTTATCAACTAATAAGATCTTAATGTGCAGGAGTTAAATACCTCAGACTGTTAAAGGTATATTGAACTCTGTCTCCACCACCAACAGTCTTATATGTATACTGTGAGAACCCCAAGTTTTAATACCGTGCTTAAGAAAAGTACTTCACAAAATATAATTTGTATAAATAATGTGTGTACATGAAAATCACAGTTGGAGACATCGACAGAGCTGTGAGCTGCCATACACAGCATGTGTGTGAGTTGTGCTGTTTTTAATCAAACTTTGTTTAACCAGTTGATAATTATTCTATTACCGCTGCTCCCTCTGCATTGTTTCAGTGGTGACTCCTGTTATGTGCAAACAAAGCAGAAGCGCTGTGAAGCAGTAGACAAGCCTCTGGAGCAATGTGACATGGGTCAAGCTTTTACTTTTTCATGTTACACTGAGAAAACCTGTGAAGCAGCCTTTCACCTTTTCTCCAGTTCTCCTCTGTTAGACACAAAGTTATGAAATCCACTGACTCCTACAAAGTAATGAATCATATTTATTATAAATCTGAACGATCAGTAAGAAAAAATGTGTCTTACAAAAGCAAATGATTGTGAATAAAGACACATTCAGGAATAGCTCAGCACGTGTGGGCCCAGGTAAAAAGGCAGTCAAACAGCACCATCTGGTGGTGAAAAACAAGTACAGAAAGCCTGCAAAACAATGAACGAAGTGCTGATTTCTTTTTAAGGAACTTGAATTATCTTCAGAGTTTATGTGCAACCCTGAGTTTGTTTTAAAATCAACGCTGTGTTTTAGTACACGAGTCAAATGGAAACAAAGGTGCAAAGATTTGGCATTATTACAAAATGAATGAATCACATTCTGGAATATTTTCAACCACTTGTATCATGAGATGCTACAACGTTGTTACAGTCATCATCGTAATTATCACTAGCGTTATTAGCAATAATGCTAATCAGTACAAACTGGTCGGTACATTCTCCTCCCCTGCACTCTCATTGGCTGCTGCTGAAGGTGTGTCTGTAGAAAACGTCGGCATTGGCTGCGTAATCCATGGTCAGCGTGGCGCCTAAACTCTGAGCTCCAAGACTGGCGCCGCCGAGAGCCGAGGACTGCTTCAAACTCAGGAGGCTGTATCCACGGAAACGGCCCTTGAAGTGCTCAGACGATGCGAGTTTATCGAGGACCTCTGTGAACCCTGGTCAGAGAGAAACAGGAAGTGAGAGTTCGTCACGACAACAGCTTAACTTCACGCCGTAGCAGACAGTAGCATCATATGGGGTCGATACCGTTAGCTTTTGTAAGATGCACAGATTGGGTTATCTATTTGAAAAACTGTTTGCCACTGAAGCACAATGAATCCTGGGATATGTCGGCCTGAGAAGGATCCACCCGGAGCCTTTGTTTCTTTGGGATGAAAGGCCTCTGAAGAATGCAGCCTCTGACGTGAGGCCCCAGCGACACTGACCTGGCTTCAGAAGCTCCGAGCTCTTCCACACCGAACCCACACACAGGATGGGCAGGCCGAGGTCACCCGTCAACAGAGGCTGTCAGGAGACAAAGAGGACGTGAAACTCGTGGAGTCAGTGTTGCTAGTGACAACACACCTCGATGTTGTTGTTGTTGTGTGAGGGCGTTACCTCTTGTGCTGCAGGTAACACAGCTTCCACATGTTTTCCCAGGACTCTCCCAGCCTGAGTGAAAACATACTGACACAGAGCGTCCCCGGCCACCGCACCTTAAACACAAACACCATTTCCATTTTACTTTATTTCTATTTTCTACTGAGCAGGAAGTGATGGCACCAACTACCTTCAGCCAGCTTCTTGCAGAAACCAGCAAAGTGGGACTTCTGGAAGTTTCTGTAGAGGTGCGGCAGCATGCCCATCAGATCTGACACCTAGGATGAATTTAATTCAAGTTACTACAACACCCCGACCAGTCAAAGGTTTAGAAGTCAGTTCTTCTTCTCTGACCTGGAAATATTCCTCCATGGCTTTTGTGACATGGGTGATGTCATGAGGAGGAGCGACCAGGCAGTCTTTGGCATCAAACACCGTCTTCACCGCCAAATGAGCGATCCAGAACGCTGAGAGACAGAGAGGTGAATCAAACGTGACATTCTCCAATTTTAAACATTTGTTTGCGTGTCGCTTGGTTACCGGATCCTTCATCACCCATCATGTGACCCCAGCCTCCGCAGCCGATCTGCGAGCCATCAGGATTTACTAACTTGCAGTTGGAGCCGGTCCCTGATATCAGCACTACACCTCCTGCAGAGAGAAAAAGACACGGGAACAACGATGACGTCTAGATGTCACTGAGCCGTAAAGTTAGAGAGGTATAAATGCTATCTCTTATATAGAGCCACACCTGAGGAGGGTAAAGTATCAACCTTTGCATTGTTAAAACATGTTCAGGTCATGAACAGGTTTCTTTCAAATGAAAATTGTAGAGATTTTCCAGCAAAACTTATTCCTGAATACTTGATAATGTGCATATTTAAATCCTACATGTAAAAACTGTCAAATGTTTTGTTCGATCCCATGTTCTGAAATTTTACATGGTAAAAATAGTTCAACTCAAAACCCACATTAGAGATAAATATTTAATACAGTGTGAATGTAGCCGACTTTTAAAATGGCTAGTTACCACGATCGCTAGCGGTTGCCATGGCGCCGATGGCATCAGTGGTGATGAAGTAGTGCTGGCTGAGACCGGGGTAGCGTTCCTTCATGAGAGCGATCAGTTTGTCGATGGCGTCCTTCTGCTCCCCTCCACTCAGAGACATGCCCTGACACACACACACACACACACACACACACACACACTTGTTTATAAGGAACTTTCATTCGAGCTCAGTCAAAGTGGACATGCATTAGTGTGAGATCAGTGTGACTGACCAGTGAGCACAGTGGTGTGTTTGGATCCAGTCCGGCCTCCACCTTGGCTCTCTGGACCATGTCATTGATGGTTTCAATACATTTGTCCACCCCCACCAACTGTACACACACACACACACACACACACACACACACACACACACACAAAACATCTTTATGACATCAGAATTTGTATTTTAAATAATAAAATGGAAATCAATTAAGTCCCTGTCCCTGTCCCTGCTCACCCAGTGGTTGGTGGACGGTCCCTCTGTCTCTGCCAGGATCCTCCCATCTCCTGACACCAGAACTGCCTTCGAGTGGGTCCCTCCACTGGACACAGAGGACAGAGGACAGGTTTGGTGAGACAAACACTTCACACCATCACGGCCACAACACAAGAGGCCATCAGGGACATGAGATGAAAACTCACAGAGGAGCGAGCAGAGACTCTCTATATAATATAAATCTATAATATGTATATATGGTGAATTTGATGTCAATGCATACAGACACAGTAACTTTGAGATCAGCAGCAACATTTAAAGTGGAAGTGGTCACGAGACCGGTTCACTTCACGCTGCTGCGCTGCAAAGGCGAACAAAACGATAACAGGAAACAGGAAACACTAACTTTCACTGACATCTTGTAGAAATATGAATGTTTGTGAGTATTTCAGTCTTTCTCACCCTTCTACTCCACCGAACACTGACGCCATGTCCCGGTTCCTGTTTGCGTCCTGTCCAACTGTCCAAATATCGCGAGAGGAAGCGGCTGAACCCACACCTGCAGTGCAGATTCCTGACCAGTAGGTGGCAGCAATGTCTGTGTTTTGGTTTTTCCACAGTAGTTCTTTGAGCCACAGTAAATGTTGCTGTTGTAACTAAGTATTATCAATTGTGTACAATTATATATATCATGTATTATTATTAGTAGTAGCAGTCTTGATATTATTTATACATCAATGATTATGACTATGATCATACTTTATTTACTATACCATAAACCAGCGGATCAAGACGAGTGGGTCAAATCAAAATTTTAAATCAAATACAATTGATCAACTATTTGAAAACACCGTATTTTAGCCAGTAATATTACAACAGCTAAAAATACTACTAACATTCCAAATAAAACCATGCAAGTACTCACCATTACTCAGCCACCCACTCATATCCTCAGTTATAGCCAGTTACATCACATGAAGTACTGCAATGTGTACACTAAAGTCTCTGGTGGGTTGTGGGCTGAAAAGTTTGGAAACAGCTGCTATATACTACATCTATATTTACTAGTTTATATTTGGTACAAAAGTATTATGAACAAATTTGACTCATAACATGAATGATGATATTAGTGTGCATATATTAGATTGTTAATCCTGATGCATCAGTGGAAGGGGTCCCAAACCAAAATGTTTCAAACTTCAACATGAGCTTATTATATGTTTTGAAAATAAAATCTTAAGAGTAACAGTAACCAGTAGTTGTAGATGTCCAATAAAATGTACCAGAGAAGTCAAAAATGTCAGTCCCCCAGTGCACATACTTCAAATGTGCAATCTCCTCATGCACAGTACTTAAGAACTTGTACTTTCCTCTTTCCACCACTGTACGTGAGCACAGGACATGTACAGATATTTGTTCTCTACTCAAGGAACCGTGGCCAGCTAAAATCCCATTTAATGTCCTGACTCATGGTCTAAAAATCTGCTGTGACTGTCAAGAACAATACTGACAGAGATGAAACACCATGTGGTTATGGGCCTGAAGCAGGGACAACAACAGTAGGTGACACTGTGAGCCAGCAGGAGGCATCTGCAACACATTAATATGGAGCTGCTTAGAAATAACTATCATTCTCTGGCAACTGACATGTGTCTGTGGTTCATATATGTTAAAGTACTTACTGTTGGTATAGGGAATCATAGCAGCGTTCTATGAGGTTTATAGTCCTGCTGTAAACTCCAACACTTTATTATCATCATATATAATATAATCATCACCTGTGGCTCAGTGCATACAGTTAATGTATTTGTGTTAGAAAGTGAGTGTGTGTGTGTGTGTGTGTGGGTGGGTGTGTGTGGGTGTGTGTGTGTGCGTGTGTGTGTGTGAGTCAGAGCTGAAGTTACACAAGAGTGAGGAAGAGGAGGAGAGGCTCAGCACGCGCCACTCACTCCTCCTGCAGAGACATGTCAAGTCCCACAGAGTCACTGTAGTAACAGATGTCAGCCTTTCACAATAAAAGTTTAAAATAAGCAACCTCTTTCATTTACAAGCTACAGCTTAAGTTTTTCTTTAATGCATTTTTACAAAACGCTCTTACATTCACTATGTTTTTTTGAAAAGTGCTTTAATATATTCTGATATAGTCTACATACATTCATACATTATAAACCCTAAAGATATGTGAACATATTCATACATACTTCCCCAAATCTCTCAGGTTACCAACAAACACATTAAAGAACACAAATAAATAATAATAATATACGTTTTCTAGTTTATATCATAGTTACAAAGTGCAATTAAATAAATACATTTGTTCTTGATCAAGTTACCACAAATAAAGAGTTCTACTTCAGATCAGATAAGCCCGGCACATAAATAAGGACACAGCTCAGCTCTTTTCACCCTGTGCGATAATTATCCACATATTTTCTTAAGCTTAAAATAAATCCTTAATGTTGCTATTTGAAATTTTAATGTTGCAGAGTTTATTGTTTTATTGTGAAGGCTGTAAGCGGAAGTCTAAGTGTAACATCTCGAAGGTGATGTTCCGGTGCAGCCCTGCAGGAGGAGAGAGAGAGGGAGGGAGAGAGAGAGGGGGAGAGAGACCCGGTGACAACACTGAAGACCTCACCTCAAACTGTTCTCCGCGGACCACCCGGACCCTGTGAGGAGCCTCTCCACGGCCCACCATGACACCCTGAACCCGCGCTGCCACAGCTGGAGGGAGCGGACGTGACGGAAGAGGGAAGTGAGAATTAAAAACACCAGCCAACGATAAGTTCTGTCCTCCAGCAAGTTCGAGTCAGAGCCGTGGATTCTGGAGGGAGAGCAGCCTCTGGAGTGGGAGTGGGCATGGACACCCACGTTAAGGAGGGACAACTGTATGTACAGCATCAGAAGTTTGGGAAGGTAAGAGTTGGATGGTTGTTCTGCTCATTTGTTAATTAATAGAGTTCATGCCTAATACAATGTCCCTTATAATGAGTGTCCTGAGGATGCTGGATAACACTGAGATGATTGAGACAGAGAACAGCAGTAAATACGAGGATGTCCATTTCAGGAAGCTACAAACAAGATGAAATACATTTGAATGAATGTCATGGTAGGAAGATAATCAGTGTGATAAATCCTCATGTGCAGAGAGAGACGCTACAAACCCTTTAAAGTTTCTCTTGTGTTATCAGTGTTTAGAAGTCACACAAATATGCTGATCCCAGTTGTAAACCTGTAAAGAACCTATCTGGCGTTGACCGAGCACACACTGGTGCGATTAGAGCCCAGTCACTGTGCAGAGAGAGGAAGTCACTGAAGTGTCACTGATCTGATCTGGACTTGTTTTGATGTGGTGGTTTGGAGAGAAGCTGCTGTGCATCTGTATTTTAGAGAGAGAGTGTGTGTGTGTGTCTGGTAAAACCCTGGTGCACGAGTAAATGTCACTAATCGAAGTGAACTAAAGCAAGTGGCGAGGAAAGTAGGTGCGATGGTTGTTGCTTTTGTGTTTTTAATGTATTTTCTTCAAATTTAAGACATCAAGACCTGTGGAGATGGAAAGTTGAGTTGAGTTGGAGGACGTGTGTTTCCACTTCATCTGCAAAAGCACCTTTTTGTCCTCCCTGACTCGGTTTCATTTAGTATAGATCACATGCTTGGACTGGATACTGCGAAAAGGACAGTGATAACACTTGTGTGTGTGGGTGCGTCTGAGTGTGTGTTGCAGTTCATGGCCTCACTGCAACCTTGCCTTTGGTGTCAGAGCACCAGCGCCAGATAAGAACTCGCTTACTCTTTCAGATTGGTAAAGAGGGCCTTTGTCTATCCGGCTCTCTCCTCTTGGTCATATGACGCGCACCAACAAAACACTCTGGCCCTGTTTCCTGTCCTGAAATCACGGCTCCACAATACATGTTCAAGCCCCTGCACAAAAACACAGCTTCAGTAAAGTGGAACAGACAATGGACAAACTAAACTTCATCATTTCAAGGAAATAATTTGCACAAATATAAAAAAACGCATGAGAGGAGAAGTGAATAGAACAGGAAGCTTGAGCGTTGCTGGCTGATCTGTCAGTGTTGAAACTGCTGCAATGGTGAATTATGCAACCGTTAGTGCTGCTAGTGGACGTACACGCTTGCGTATATAGGCTCGGTCCTGCGTGCACGCTCGGAAAATGTGACTCAAGAGTGGAGGATTCTCTTTCTGACTGCTCTCTCATGACATGTCAAGTAATGGCCTTCATTACGGAAATCTGTTTCATATATTGGTTTTTTCGGGCCTACAGTGCATAAAACAAGTTACTGAACTACTTCTATTCATTAAGAGCATTCGGCTGAAGTTTAAAAAAGCAAAACCCGACTGATGTATCGATTGTTTATGTTGCAGATGTGAAATCTCTTAGTTTACAGAATAAACACTGCAAGAAAAAAAGTGCATTTCTGTTTATATATTACTTAAACATTTATTCAATCAAGTTATGGTTGAACTGTAAAATATCAAGCCTCAATTACATTTAATTACGTTGCTTATTTTTTTTATATGTTCTAATCGGCCGATACTTCTCCATCAGAAATGTTTGTTCAGGCAACTCATGTTCAAATGAGTTCAACAGTAGAACAGGTCAGTCACCTAATCACTCCCCCAGATATGATTCCATAGATACGATGGGAGTGATCGGCTAATACTTGTCACCCCCCCATGGGAGCCTATAGGTGGATGTTGGGGTGGTGGAGGGGCTGAAGCAAAGGGAGTGAATGGAAATCTCCCCTGCTTAAATCCACCACTTAATAGGGCGAGTGTGTATCATAGATGATTGTGGAGAATGAGGTATTGCACATGATGTACGTCACATGATGTACGTCACATGATTGGAGCAGCGCAGCTCAAGTTGGCTGCCTGATCTGGCTCGAAGCGTCGCTCCATTCTTGCCAAAATCCATATTGATAGTGCTCTAATGAGAAGTGTGTTGTTTTAAATAATCTATTAAAGACGTCCAGAATGTTCATGTTCTGCGTCTCATATCTTTGTTTTATTTGGTTAAGTAATGATGTGACAGATGATATTTTTGGGCACGTTTCTAAAACATTAATGGATTATCGGAAAAAGAATTGGTGTGATTGTTTTTTGGGTCATTTATGCCTCAGTTTGGTGATAACTTGCAGAGCGCTGACAGGAAATGAGGAGAGAGGAGAGACATCTTTGACCTTCAAGCCAATAACAGCTACCAACTAGTTGCAGCCTTAGTATCTGCACTTGTTAATTTCACTTGGTGCACGAATATTTTCAGTTTAAATAGTCAATATTTGTTATTCTTCAAACGGAATTAGATTAAAACACTAGATTAAACTCGATGCTGCAGAGGCCGAGATTTCCTGTGTGGTCAAGGCACTGGATCCTACATCGCCCACAATGCAACTCTGCACCCTTTCAAATCAAACCATCCCTCCTTCCTGAATGTCCACTTCTACCAAACTGTATCAGAGACCTTCTGATAGATAACCCTGATAATGTCACCTGGGTTGTTGTTTCACCGCCAGAGCCGTGTACAATTCCTGTTGATGAGTTAACTCAACTTCCCTTTCAAAATAGTTGAACTGAAACATGGAGATGTGAAAAATGAGAAGCACGGTTATCTCATTGTCTCAGACTCCTCTCACATACAGGAACACATTTGCTGCCTCTTCTGAACTGTGACACACATGTAGCATGACAAAGATTTTCATGATAATATGTACAGATTATATGCTTTTGGCCTCATGCTGATGTCGGCTCGGCTGCCGTGCGGTTATGGTTCTGCAGCAGCACTAAAGACAACATCAGCTCGGCGCTCGCCGCCACTTGAAAAGACTGGGTGTGTCAGGATAAAGTATTTAACACACCCTGAGGCGGCTACATTTAAACATCAGTGTTTCATGTCTGGAGTAATAATGCACTAATGGATTTATGGGGCTGGGTGTCATCAGACACTAAATCATACTTTTAAAAGAAAAGTAACACCACCTCATTTGTAGTAAGAAGTAACCTGACGTAGGAAAGTGTGTAATCGTCCGTAGACACTCTGCACCAGATGTATTTTGAGGATGAGTGGTGTGGTTTTGTAATTTGGTGATGAAGGAATGATTAAGCTTCTTCAGAAACAAGAATCACACAGTTCTTACTCACTGTTTTACCACTGTAGTTTTCTGTCCACAGCCTCATTTCCTTTGCTTTTTCCTCATCTGATTCCATATGAGTCCAGAGAACAACTGTAGAGGCAAAAGGCAGATTTTCTGCTGTTGTATGAAAAACGGATAATGAATGAATTTATATTTTCACGAGACAATCTTTTTAATCTCACTGCAGGGTTTGTTCTTCTTCTCCTTCAATAGTTTTGATATTGCTTCGATCTTATTCAGTTTCCCACACTGCTTATCAAACCTGATTTCCACTTCAAAACCCACATTTCAGCATGAATGAAACAATGATATTGTACAAATATTGTTTATATTAATATTTAATATTAACAAATATAGTTTTTCCATGAGAAACACTGCAGTATTGCACCACGCTGTTAGAACTGCTTCATCACACACTTCCTCCATTACAGACAGTTTATTTCAGACAGTGGTGACTCTTCATCTGTCATGTTTAGCCACAACTTTGAGTGCTACCTCTGTTTGGACATAAACTGAACAGTCTGTGTTGATTGTTCTGTCTAGATGTGAAACTACAGATAAAGAAGAAAATACCTTCTTTATGCAGATTTTTAATGCTTCACCGCAGTTTACAGTCAATATATTTAACAGAAGGACAATAAGTTCGCTTTTTCTGTTATTTGCCTAAACAAGCTCCTTTACACTTCTAAGTTTGATAATGGATTCATTATTTAATTCATTTTAATACAAGAATCCCCCAGACTGTCTAGTTTCTGCCTCTGATATGTTAATATTTGCTATTTTACATATATTCCCAACTGAACATATGGGGAAATCAATCAAAATCCAATCATCAATAAAAATCAATCATTATTTGCAGCTCTACCAGTGGTGGAGACAAAACGTTAATGCTTACTGTCAGTTACAGCTCCACCTCGTCATCAGTACAAGAAAAGAATCACTGCTAATATTTACATTTATACAAGAGGTCGGGATGTTCCCGCTTCCCTTGCTCCTCTTGTCTCTCCGCCACGAGCGCAATGCATGATGGAACATATTTTGCTCGGTTAGTGACCATCGATAGTACCCTAATTTTTGACGATGCATTATGGGAGACAATACGTGCTCCTCTATCTGTGAACTGCTCAGTGATTGGTCAAAGTCTCAGAGCCTAGCTTGCTCTCAGATCACCTGATTTACTGAATTGTGGCTCAATAATGCCGGAAATGTGTGACCTTTAATAATTTTATTCTGAAATACATGACATAGTAACAGTTTCTCAAAATAACACAGTGGTTTGAACATGCAAAATGTGATGTAAACTCATAAACAAATGAACACGCAGAGCGGCCACTGAAGACACAACAGAATCAGTCTCCTCGTTGTTGTAGGAGGAAACTAAAACACAATTTCACAAGATGTCTGTCCAAACTGCTCAGTGACTTACTTGTGTGGGTTTTTTTTTTGTCTTTTTTTTATTTATATATATTTTCCAGGTTACAGAACAGTGAACATATGACAACAAATCAACCCTACCCACCCACCCCTCACAAGGCCAAAGAAAAACATCAGATACATAAATAATAATATGAGAATAAAGTACATGTGAATGCACACTCACATATACAGAATCACTTATACCATGAAAGAGAAACTTGTGTGGGTTTTTTATGTCGCTACAAACTGACAGAAGGTTTCACACGTCTGCTGAAAGAATTATGCAAGATGGACTCAAAGTCACACCACTCCACAGCCATCTTGTTGACACCCACAGGCAGTTAG